GGAAAACCGTCTGGAGCGGTTCAGTGCTCGCATGTGCGTTTCCTCTTTGGTGGGTCTCCAGAACGTTGATCGGCCAAGTCCTGCATGAATTCAGCCAAAGTAGTTGTTAGCAGAAGCAGTCCGCCTCTGATTTTACCTGTGTTCGACGCGTGTTCGACTGTGTTCTGTGTTAGACTGTGTGTCTTGTTTCGTGTTCTTCACGATCTGTGACCGGACCGTGACTGTTCCACAACAAGACCCGTTCACGAACACTTCCAACGGACCTGACCTGACCTGACCTGACTGGTGACTTGACCTGACCTTTCAGGCAGCAATGGGCTGGGATACACTGTTCGGGGAGAGGCGCTACGAACCGCCGAAGCGGTGCAACTGCGGTAAGTGCGTGTGGCGCTGGGAGGGGCGGCGTGCTCTCTGGATACGGAGGCCGCAGTTTCTAATCTCAGCACTAGTGGACTTTCTTCTCTCCCCACTGGACACGTCTCCAAACCTTGGAATGCTTGCACCTGAGCTGGATTCGACGGCGCCTGATGTACTGCGACCACAGCTGCAGCCACGGTTGCGGTTCGTCATCCCAATCTCCGGAAGAAGCCTGGAAATACGAGGCGGTTGAAGCACTGAGTTTGGAATGAACTGAAATGATAAGCAATGAATGGCATCGCTGCACGGTATTGCAGGGACGCGCTTTCTGCGCAGAAGAGAACATCCATTGCATGCAATTCTGTTAGAGCTTTTCCTGAGGGACGGTTTTACTGAACCATACGGTAACGTTCCCATGGCACCATCTGCTGCATGGTGCATATGATGAATGTTTACTGCGGTGTGGCAATCATCTTGTCACCGGCTCAGAAGTGCACTCCGTGGGAAGTGGGGCCAACTCCTGCCGAGATCCCATACCACCTCCCTCCAGGCCACGTCAGAACGCGGAAAGGAAAGGCGGTCACGCTCCCCCGCTCCTGCCTGCTGCAGCCTGCCGCGTCCGCGGCGCACGCATTGCGAGAATGAGGTGACAGGCTCGCCCCAGGCACAGCACGCGCCCGCGAGCCGTCACCACGCGCTCTTGTCGCGTCCACACGCGCTCGCGTTATGCAACGCGCTCGGGCCTTGGAGCGGGCTGCCGAGAGGAGCCCCATGAATCGACCGTCTCGCAATAAACGCCACGGCGTGGTCGCCTTCCGGGCGGCGGGTGTCGCAAGGCGTCGTAACTGCATACGACGCAGCGTTTACGACCACGGCTCCGGCCGGGGAGCGGTTCGGTCGCGGGTTTAGGTGGGTGCCGCGCCGTTCAGCCGGGAGACTGGAAGGCTGCTCGGCTTCCGGGCGGCAGGTGAACGCAAGGGTGTTTGTGTGGCTTTGCTATGGGGTGGGCGCAGTCCCAAAATGAAGTTAAGCAGCCTCCAGTTGAAAGTGCAGGCAAGAGCGTTGTATGAAGGGAGAAGAGCCCCCGTATCTTCTTGGATGCACTGCTAGCTCCATGCAATTGCTGAGCGCCATAAGAACAACAGCGAACTCAAGCTTGAACCTTACGACGCTGTTTCAAATGGTTTGGCTGGCTTTCGAGGCCTCTGAAGTGAAGCATGACCTGGAAAATGCTGCTAAATAAGAAATGCAGAAAAGTCAGTTCCATGTCGCGTCATTAGCGAGTTTTCGCGGCGCGGAGTGGAACGAACACCTTTCGCTTGATGACGATTTGGGCCACGTTTGATTGGGCTTCTTCGCTGTCCGTGCAACAGATGGATTTACGAAAGTAAAAGGTCAAGAATGTATTCAAAAATGAAGTGCTGCAATGGCAATTGCAACATCGGAAGAACCAAAGTCCTGCCGAACAATGTGTAAAGTCGCTGGTACGCTCGCCGGGATCAGCTAGTCATGGAGATCAACCGCCACCGTCCATATCATCCGCAACCAGCGAGCTAGCGACATCTCAACACCCTCAGGCTTGCAATTAGCCTTCGCACAAGTGTTGCCTCGCACAGGTCTCTTTTCTCTGTCGGTTGAATGAAGTAGTGTGAAGGGCAGTACTGTTTACGTCCCAGCCGTCATCGAGACTGGGTTGACTGAAAGCTTGTTCCATCAGAAGGCGCTTGTTTTAACCAGCATCTGTACTCAAAGCGACCTTAACTTTTCCAACCGTTGGTCTCCCCATCCACCTTTCAAATCGAAACCGCTTCCACCCGGTCTCCCGCCGCCCGCAGCTGCTGCCCCACCGCCCTCGCCACCGCTCCCTCTCCCCGCCTAGTCTGTCTACCCTTGGCTTCCCCCGCCGCCCGCAGCTGCTGCCCCACCGCCCTCGCCACCGCTCCCTGTCCCCGCCTAGTCTGTCTACCCTTGGCGTCTCCCGCCGCCCGCAACTGCCGCCCCACCGCCCTCGTCACCTCTTCTTCTCCCCGCCTCGTGTGTCTACCCTTGGCTTCCCCCGCCGCCCGCAGCTGCTGCCCCACCGCCCTCACCACCTCTCCCTCTCCCCGCCTCGTCTGTCTACCCTTGGCGTCTCCCGCCAGCCGCAACTGCCGCCCCACCGCCCTCACCACCTCTTTCTCTCCCCGCTGCGCCTGTCCAGCCTCGGCACGGCGAGGCTGGACAGACGGCGGGGCGCCGACCCCTCACCTTCACGCCGCCGCCGTCTGTGTCGGAGCGCGAAGGTCATCAGGCGACGCCGGCCGCTCTCCAAGCAGGTGGCGAGCAGTGAAAGTGACCGGAACACCGCCCGTGGCGGTCCCGGAGCCGACGCCGGACCTTGGACGGGGTGGAGACGGTCGTTCGAGACGGGTGGCGGCGGAGGCGCACTTTCTCCACCAGGTGCAGCATCCGGTGCTGGCTAACGACGATCGCACTCAGCCCTCTTCGCGCCTGCTGGGCCGCGCTGGGTTTCGGGTTAAATCAGCATCGACGTCGTTGGAGTCAGCCCGCTTTCGATTGTTGTCTGTTTGGTTGTTGTCTGTCTGAATGGAAGTCGGTATGAAATGTTGCTCGGAGCCGGGATGTGAGGCGACACTATTAGCCTCAAACCAGAGTCGTCAATAACCCCGCTGAAGCGGCACCGGGCACAAGTGCTGTAGAGGCCCAGATTACCACGTTTCGACCGTCGGCGCCGGTCACGGCCAACAAATGTGCTCATCGCGTGCTGAAGCATCGTAATTGTCCGCTGACCCGCGAGCCATCAGGTCATCTCATTGCCTTCGTGACTGATCTGCCCAGTTAGGGGACTTCATATGCCATATTCAGCTTCACTCACTGACTTATGGCAAGAAGTTACGTGTCTACGGATGTCAGGCACTAGGGACACTAGACACTACACACGGACACCAGACATTGACATGTATTCAGTCCTGAGCCCAAGGCTGCCTGCCGGAAAATCGTGGAAAACCAATCCTGGATGGAAGAGGTGAAATATGCGTAACACTGCTGGATCCTGAAGCCCTAAGCCAGCCTTGCTGCCGGACGTGTACGTGCCGTGCCGTGCCGACGTGCCGTGCCGACGTGCCGTGCCGACGTGCCGGACGTGCACGTGGCCCACCGCCAGCCGCCAATCCCTCTAGCGCCGTGACCAGCATACCGTTACGGCACGTCCCTCGTGCCGGGGCACTCGAGCGCGGCGATACACAGCCCCATCAGGTCACGCTTCCGCTTGGGTCGTCTTGTTTTCCCGTCAGGGGCTCCGGCTCCCGTGGGAACGGCGGGGTTGCGTGGCGATGACGCCGGCGACGAGGCGGCGCGCTCGTCCAAATCGCCGCCAAAGCACGGCCGGAGTGAAAGGAAGCGTCATCAGTGCAAATCGCGGTTGGCCGTCGATGATGAGAATGTATCCGGTTCTCAGGTGTGGTTTATAGTACCCCCCAATAACGGCGACGCCTTTAAAAGGGAAGCTGCTTGGAAGCTGCTTTTGGGTCAAGTACGTGGAAGCCGAATAGCTGAGGCGTATTTCCGTGACACATTTGATCCTTTGTGCTTGCCTACAGTTTCCCTGCGGGCTGAAACAACTACGTTGCAATTTAAACTTAACGTGTGCTTTATAGAGGAGAGTACACACTGCTCGTGCTTTCATTGTGTGAACGTTTTAGTCCATGCTGTTACAGCCACAAACAAAATACAGCTGTAGCAATGTTTCTGTTGCGCAGTAGTTGTTGGGCTTAAAAAGCTGCTGATTGGAACAAGACTTTCTGCCTGTTTTGGAGAAAAACCGTGATGTCACAAAATGTTGTGATTGGCCCGATCGATTTCAACCCAGGTCAATATTTGATGTGACCATATGCAAGCACGTAACGACTGACGAAGGGAAAAATGCCCTTTCGACATTATCAGATCAAGGATTGGTTGACCTGACGATGATGGGATACGGCGGTACTTTGTAAAGCTGGAAAAACATCCCCTTAAGGTATCAACCCAAGGTGTGCTTTCTCGGTCTCCTGGTTCGGTGAGCCTGAAACTTATGTAGCGCGTCCATGTACTCCTTCGGCATCGAAATCGCATGAATAAAAGAACAGACTCAAGGGAGCAGGACCGACACCTGCACGACATTTGGGCCTGCTCGCTACATTGCACTGTCAAGAAATACAGCAGCGAGACAGCAGATAATGCAGATTAATTTGGTCGGCGCTGTCCGTTCATAAATATACCGAAGGTGGTTGTGACCATGGTATAAGTTTGGGTGAATGTGACTTTGACTTCCCAGCGACGACACGTTCACCACGCCTACATAAACCAACATCGCTGCTTCGCTAAAACAATCTGACCAAACGTGACGACATCTGTATGACTGAACAAGACTGAAAATACCGCCTGCAGAATGACGGATGCGAACGCCAACAACATGCTATCACAGACATTCGACGGATCGCGTCGCCGACGACCAATCAGTGGCCGAGAAAAGGATTTACAACCCGTGACGGACCAATAACTCGCCGCAAAAGAAATGACGACAAGCGCGGACCAATCAGCGAACGCACGAACCCGACTCAACGGTTGTAAGTACCTCATCTTAGGAGAGCTGCTGGTACTTGCAGGCCGGAGCTCTGCAAAGAGGACTCTTTGACGATCTTCAAGCCCTCTTTAACAAGAACAAGACCAAGGAAAACGAAACCTCGGCCGCAACGACGGAGGCTCCGGACATAAGCAAATGCGAGGAAACGTGCCAGAACAAGTTTGCAGGTAACGCACATCCGCTATGCGGACACACACACACACACACACACACACACACACACACACACACACACACACACACACACACACACACACACACACACACACACACACACACACCTGCTGTGCATAATGCCCGTGTGTAGTAAAGCTATCCAAAACAGGTCACGCCACGTCACCCGGCGAGGCTCGGCCAGGTTCTTGAGCTGATGTTTGCTTCGACAATACCCAATGTCGGTCCACCCCGCGGCAATCCGCTTTCACAAGCCATTTACATGGCGGATGGGCCTGTAACAGATGGCGTGCAATGGCAGAGAAGTGTGCTGCAGTGCTCACTGCCAGGATGATCCGTCTCTCAGACTGATCTGCTGTCTGCACGGTCCTACGTAGTGTTTGAACAGAATCGTAGTTCTCTCTTTGGAGCTACGGTTCTGCCAAGAAGCCGCAGTTCAATGCACTGAGACGTCAGCTTGCCGGGTGGTCTACGTCGTTGTCCAGTTGCCTGTATCGATCGCTTGCAACTAGACGAGTCTTCACGAAGTTCGATGATCAAGATGTCAGTATCGTTAGACCTCAGTGGTCTCGGTCTAATCGCCGTATGGGTTGGCTCCGTTGCATTTGTAGCTCGTGGCTGGAGGTAAAGTCAAGCGTAGACAAATCTACTTGTTTTTAACAAATTCGGAGGACGCACAAATCATTTCACCGTTTAAATGCGGTTGCTGCACACAGGGTAAATCATCGTCAGGCAACGCGAAGGAGCACTGGAACTTTACATTTGATTAAGCAACCTCAGCTCCTGGTTTTTCGGTATTATGAGTTCAGAGTTTCTATGCTAACACCTATCGACCTTCAAGTTACCAAGAGTCAAGGTGGTTGGGCGGCATAGTATTGCTAAAGGTCGATAACTGAAGCTGTGCTCATGGTCATGAGTGACCATGCTACATGTGCTCGCTGCATCTGTTCTTAAGTTTTCGCTTATAAGCGAGTCCTCCTTTGGAAGTCATTGATCAATGATCGCTCACCTGGGCTCCTGCACGGCATGAATTGCCAGATATGTATGCTCCAAACGAAATCTTCTTTACTTGGTCCCACTTTAAAACAAACATTTGTCCATTTATGGATGGAACGTAGATTTATGGCATGAAGACCTGTCTCAATCTGCGAAGCCGTTTCCTTTTCATTGCTGTTTGATGTTGGATAGGGACAGGCCGGCAAAGGTGCACGTCCACAGTTGAATTCAGTCGAATGCTCACGATTGAATTCATCACAGCTGAATTCGTTACTTTTGTGGGATGAAGTTGCGACTGTCTGGTGAAGAGTTCCGTCCTAAATCCTGCTGCAAGGAGGACAGCACTGACAACTTGGAGTGTAACTTTTCCTCCATATATCAGTGTGGACGCACCGGGTAACCCACAGGTTTTTTCGTGACTATGTGAGCTGTGACTCACATTAACTATGATTCACGTGTCTTGCTAGATTGGGTAAAGTACGCCGCTTCTATCCAAACTCGCTGCCTTCTCTACACGGACAGTCATGACCACATCACCCCCATTGGCTTGTCATGCCACAATTCACTCGAGTGCGGCTGAGTGTGTAGGTTCTCTGCTGTTTCGAAGTTTAGAGTGCTCTGCTTACTGACTCCGCCCAGTTTCGTCTGCGTTTGGTTTGGCTTCCGTCATCCACCCATTTATGGATAGTTTCCAAGTGCTTTTGTATTCCGCGTTTTTGTCTTTTAAGAATATCGCTCGACTTACGCATTGTCTGCAATTTGCATGTTTCGATATGTTGGACCCATACGTCAGATTTGGCCTTCCAGGTCTTCTACAAAGCACCATCGTCGCATTGTTGTTTGAGTGATGCTGTACTTTCCATGCGGGAGACATTTCAGCGTCGCTTCCACCTCCACCATTAATGTTCATTGCATCACAGCAATGTGTCGGTCACCGTGCCAGCATTAAACTGTTCATCATCCACCACTGCAGCGCATTCACTCACGCTTGATGATAATCACGCTCATAGTGACGTCATATGCTGAGCAGCTGGCTGTCATGGTTACCTCACGGGGAAATGCGTCCTTATCTCTCACTTGGAGCCTTCGTGACGGGCTCCATGACATGTTCCACTGTGGCGTTCTTTCCGTTCATGCGGCGAGGTCAGTTCAGTTCAGTTCGGTTCAGTTCGCGGCAAACAAGCAACGTTATGTCGCTGCTTGCATGCTGCGAGCACCACAAACACCATTAACATTCCGGTAGGCGGCTCCGTGACGACCCCAGCGGCCAATATTTTAGTTAGGACAGTTCCTCCACCAAGTAGTTCGGCTTTTTCAGTCTCGTCCATCCATTTTCCAGTTTTGTCCAGCTTGGATAACGCATCCAGCTTCATTTACCTTCAAACCACTTATCAAGTTTCACCTAGTTCTATGCAGTTTTATCCAGTTCTTTCAAGCTGTCTGGTTGCCCAGTTTTAAATGCACCCGCGACCGGTTTGAAGCAGTTTTAACCAGTTCAGCAGCATAACCGGCGTCTCGTGCGTGTTTCAGCGTGCGGTGTTCCCAACCGAGGTACTCGGGTGGTCGGTGGACGGCCGTCCCGCATCAACGAATACCCGTGGGCTGTGGCGCTGACATACAGAGGTCGCTTCTACTGCGGCGGCAGTCTCATCAACGATCGCTACGTGCTCACGGCCGCACACTGCATCAACGGGTACGTAGAAGTGTTATGAGATGGCCCAGCCGCCGGCGCATTTCGCTCTATTCGCTGGATGGCAACGAGGTTCGTTTTGTACGTTGTATGATGTTTGAAGAGCTTAACAAGTATACGCTCTCTACTCAAATGTGCGTCGCAGCACGGGCGCCCACCGTAAGCAGACGGTAGGCTGTTTTAGTGTATTAATATCAGCAAAGCTTTCCGTGTCAAAATCACGATGTAGGGCAATTTTGGCGCGAATTTCAAATTTAGCACACTCATTGCGCAAAGCAAGTCAAGAGGGCCAACGGTCCCAAACCATCTTCGGACTAATCTATGTCCTGGATTGAAGCGCATGTAGGCTCTACGCGACCATTTCAGCTCCTGACTGTGGATCTCGACCGCTAATGGGCTCTGAGAGTACGTATGTCAGCTAAGCCTTGATGACGCAAAAGCGGCGCTGACTGCATGTCACAGTTGCGAAATTTGAAAGTGCTTTAATGCCTTCGGAGCTGAGAGCTGTCGCGTCTGTTGCAGCCGCTGCTCGGCAATCTGGCTGTGAACGTTGCGGGGAGATCCCAGCGGCGTGACGTCACAGAGCTCACTTCCTGTTCATGCTTCATACATTAGCTTGATCATTCTTGCGTGGGGGAAGCTGTTCCTAGACCGGTGGGCCGCTTAGTTTTTACTCCCATTGACATAGAATAGGATAATCCTGTATATATGTACATATATATATATATATATGTATATATATATATATATATATATATATATATATATATATATATATATATATATATATATATATATATATATAATAGGATAATCCTCGTGCTGGGCAGGACTCAGAACAGCGTGCTCGTCTTGCAGAACGGAATGAAACAGTGCAAACAGCTATCAGTTTCACAGCTCCTTAAACACGACAAGAGAATTCATACGCAGATGTGCTACAGATTGGTTGCTTAATTTAATGGTTGCATGCCAACAACCCAGCACGATTGCCTTCTGGATGTTGAAGTGCGCTTCCCTCCCCGCTGCGCATTATTGGATAATACTGACGTCGGAGGCCATAAACGTGTCCTCAGACGCGAGCGTGCGCCAGAATTGTCAATAATTCTCACGGTGCGGCGATACTGACGCAGTGGCTTGAGACGGAAAGCCAATGGAGGAGATAAATACGCCATGTATTCCACTCCACCCGGATACCCTAACGTTCACAGACAGACGTGAAAGTGAGAGTGTATTCTCCTAAACACATCGACAGATATGTGTAATGGCACAGGGCTTTTACGAGTAGGAAACTGTTAAACGCGGCTTGAATTGCTCCCAAGTGAAATGTCATGTTATCTGAGCATGAGTTACACTGGAGGGAAAAGCAAAGCACTTGCACATAGATGAGATCGGCTTGACAGAAAAGCGATCGAAATGATGAGCTTGCATGTCCCCTACACATTTTACACTCGTGTTTTAAAACCGTGCATCCGTGCGATATTATTGGTCGCAAGGAAACGAGCATTTACTGAACGCCGGCTTTGCCACTGCCAAAGCATTGCCAAATATGATTGACCGATGGCCGACGCCGATCCGGCAGGCTCAACCACAACAGGGTGGAGGTGACGCTGGGAGAGCACGACCGAAACCTGCCCTTCGAAGCCATCACGCGCAAGATCAAAGTGCTGTGGTGGCTGAAGCACCCCGAGTTCAACCCCAAGACGTTCAACAACGACATTGCGCTGGTGCGCATGAAGGAGTCTGTCAGCTTCAGCAGGATCATGCGACCGGTCTGCCTGCCAAGACCGGGTAAGAGTGACGTCACAATGGTGACATCAGGACCAGAAAGCAGCGCTAGGAGGACCTCGGGGCCTTTGTGTCTGCCGCGAACAGGAGCATTAGCACTATTGGAAAAAAGTGCTGGGCGCTCTGGTGCTTCTGTGTTTGCCGAGTAGCAGAAACCTTAGCATGACCCGGGGGGTTCTGTGCCTGCTCTTGCCCATTACAGATATTTCTAGAGCAGCTATCCCCAAGAAATTTCATTAAACCAAAAGACCTAGTTAGTAAGGGAATATTGCAATGGGTAGGGGTGAGAGCACGAAGGATAAGATGACCCCAGAAATAGCAAATAGCTATACTCAATGACGGTGTTACTGTGAAGCGTTTTTCGTCTATTGGAACATGTCGCTTGTCGTCACTGCTTACATGAGCGCGGACATATGGCAACCTACATACATGTACATAAAAGGAGAGAGATAGAGGAGAGAGAGAGAGAGAGAGAGAGAGAGAGAGAGAGAGAGAGAGAGAGAGAGAGAGAGGAGAGAGAGAGAGAGAGGAGAGAGAGAGATTCATATATATATATATATATACCATATATTATATATATATATATATATATATATATATATATATATACATGTATGTATGTATATGCACATAACGTCATTGTCTCCTACAAAATATACAGACACTGACTGGGGCACGCAGTTTCATTGGCACAAGATAATTATCAACCTCAATGTCCATAACGACATCAACATCATCATCAAACGTTAACGTCACCGTCTCCCCCGCAGGGTACAACTACACGGGCGAGAAGGTGACGGTGGTAGGCTGGGGCCGGACGTCAGAGGGCGGCAGCACGGCCAACCTGCTGCAGGAGGTGCTGCTGCCGGTCTTCAGCAACGCCGAGTGTCGGGCACTGAAGTATGACGCCGAGGAGATCACGAGCAACATGATGTGTGCCGGCTACACGCAGGGAAAGATTGACGCCTGTCAGGTGAGGCTAGCGCTGAGGGTGAGGGTGAGGGTGAGGATGAGGATGAGGGTGAGGGTGAAGGTGGTGGTGAGGGTGAGGGTGAGAATGAGGCTGAGGATGAGGGTTAGGGTGGGTGTGAGTGTGAGAGTGAGGGTGAGGGTGAGGGTGAGGGTGAGGGTGAGGGTGAGGGCGAGGGTGAGGGTGAGGGTGAGGGTGAGGGTTAGGGTTAGGGTTAGGGTGAGAATGAGAGTGAGAGAAAGGGTGAAGGTGAAGGTGAAGGTGAAGCTGAAGATGAAGGTGGGTGGGCCACAATCGAATCGATGTGGCTCCGAGTCGGCTCCATCCGTCTGACCCACCATCATCACTTGAAGCGTGACCCAGGCCCAATAAATTCTTCGTGTCCACGTCCTCTGTCCATACAACATGCTTCGTCGCCTGTCCTATTTTCAATCCCAACGCGCTGCCCACCTATGTTACGCGGCAGCGCACGGTCTTCCGCTCACGCATCCCCCCTTCCTCTGCGCATATCGCCCCATTCGGGGGCGCGAAATGACCCCGGCTGTCTGCGCGCCATGAAACATAAAAAACAACAGCAAAGCACCCCCTTGCCGCAGTCGACAAACTATCTCCTCTTTCTCAGAAACAGGCCTTTTCACTTCAGGCAATGGACTTTCTCCTACCTTTCCTTATACGATTTGTGCCTAATTGAATCATCATCAAACCATCACGTTTCATCATCATCATTACCCTCATTAACCATCATCTCAATCCCATATCAGCGTCACCTTACAGCCGATTTCGCAACAAGCAAAAGCTGTACACAACCACACAAACACGCACCACCGCCACGGCCGCCAACACCATACCACAGCCGTGCTCAGCGATGCCACTGAGGAGAACCCGGTGTGACTTTCTAGATGCTGCAGGGCTGCTGGCCCATTTCTCATGGCCGCTCGAAAAAGCGAAATTTCATGTCACGCGCCGGCGACGAGTGCAGATGGCATTGGCGACGACGGCAGAGGCGGATGCAGGAAATAGCAAGGGGGGACTCCGAGTACAGAATGTGTCTCAAAGCCGACTTCCCAAAAGGAAGCGTCGGCGTGCGCGTTTCGGAAGATGTTGAAAAATAAGTCTGCCAAATCAACCAAGGTTTTCGCCTCCTAAATAGGACGGCGAGATACGCCTCTGCGCCCCCACGCCCAGCAGAATCCGGGTGTAGAAAGAGGGCGGCCTTGGCTCATGCAATGAGAGGCTGCGATGACGACCGCGGAAGCTCGCTCGGGGTAAGGGATACATCAGCTCTTCCCATGTGCGGCGATAGGTCTGCTGTTTTTATTTTCCCAGACGTTGGCGGCGCCCCACCGCCTCCCACCCCAGCCCGACGCGCTCCAGTTCTCGCACTGCTACCTATGTCAGAGACACTGCAGGTTAGCGGTGTAGGCAATGGGGAAGACAGCCGCAGGGAAAATAAACCGTGCCTTCATTCCATGGAAGTATGGAATGATGCTGACTCCCGACAAATGTGTGAGATGGTCTGGTGCGTTGTGGTATATCCTGTGAGCTAATATGCTGAAAATAGTCTACGTCCATCACGCCAGGAGGAACGGGTAGTAGAAACGAGGAACGCAGGCGGGAAGGAGGAAAGGAGGAACGATATCGAGTGAATATTGGGACACATTCTGAACAATACGTGCATCGATCGGCAGGAGAAAGAGGCTGACTCCCATTGCCATTTTCCCACGGTATACATCAAATAGAACATCTACTAATGACGGGTGTTCCATAGGACTACCTCACCAATGATTTTTACATCGACGAACATACGTGCGGGCACTGTTCGTAGGTTCCGTACATTTCTTCCATGCAAAATATTCCACATAACACATTGAGGCATGCCATAGGATATACTCTGTTAGCATACTGCTGTGAGCAATGGCCATATAATTTTCACGCATATCATATCATTTCATATATAATATATGTTAACTTCGTAATCAACATTGATGGTGTATTCCAACGCACATCATTTTCGTGGCACATCACAACGTCAACACCTTACAGCTTTGCTTATCGAGTACCATCCGGTGCATTGGCACCATATCCGGTACCATCCGGTGCATTGGCGCCGCTTGTTCTGAGCGTAATATCTAATAATTCCGATGAAATAAGAGCTTAAGGCCTTATCATTAATAAGCCTTATCATATAGCATATACTGTTTTCTCAAGTATTAACTTAATATATACCTAGGGAGGGGAAATTACTTTTACAATCGTCATTCGGTAGCGTCCTTTTTTGCACGCATGTCTTACTTGTGTAGTAGTGCGGCAACATTCCACATCGACCCTATCTAACTGGATATTCGAACTGAACTAGAAATTGTCAAATCCATAATTTGGGAAGACCACAATTCTAACACCATCAACGGCGAGCCGCCATCAAGAAGAAATCAAAAGTGAAACCCATCCGAGGCGGCGTCTGATTAGCCAGCACCTCCGCAAATGACGCTGGTGCGACCCGGACGTGCCTCCAGCTCTCACAGATACAAACACGTGCCTCCAGCTCTCACAGATACAAACCCCGGGAAGACAGATTGCCTCATGCAAATTCAGGAGCACCACACGGCAGAGGCGCGCTCAGGAGGGATGCTACGGTTCGGCGGTAACGATTTTTGTTTGCACGCTTTGAAGAAAATGCTTTTTAACCGCAGAAATAAAAGTGAATTGTTGATTTGTCTCTATCGTATAAATATAATCAGCTCAGAAGAACAGCACGTCACGCAAACTTTTTCCAAATGCCACTGGCACGTGCCCAGTTCTTGCTGGGTGCGCCACTGCGACGAACCTGAACTTTCACGGCCGCGTCCCGGTCTCCGGCCGGAGCGCCGAGACGTGACCGTGTTATGCGGATCTGGTCCGGCGGCAGCCGGGGCGGCACGTGGCGATGAGCGCGGGGCGACCGAGACGGCGCCGGTGGTCGCCGCCGACGCGGCAGCCGGGGCCGCACGTGGCAACGGGCGCGGGGCGACCGAGACGGCGCCGGTGGTCGCCGCCGACGCGGCAGCCGGGGCGGCACGTGGCGATGAGCGCGGGGCGACCGAGACGGCGCCGGTGGTCGCCGCCGACGCGGCAGCCGGGGCCGCACGTGGCAACGGGCGCGGGGCGACCGAGACGGCGCCGGTGGTCGCCGGCCGACGCGGCAGCCGGGCGGCACGTGGCGATGAGCGCGGGGCGACCGAGACGGCGCCGGCGATCGCCGCCGACGCGGCAGCCGGGGCCGCACGTGGCAACGGGCGCGAGGCGACCGAGACGGCGCCGGTGGTCGCCGCTGAGGTGGCAGCGGTCCAGTCAGAATTCAGGATGTAAGGAGATTATGTATAGGGCGTTGTTTCACCTTCGTCCTTCCTCCGTCCTGCGGGGGCTCCTTTCCCTCTTCTCCGTCTCTGTCTTTCTCCGTCTGTCTCTCTTTTCTCTCTCTCTGTTTATTTCCCTCTCTGTCTCTCTTTCTCCCTCTCTCTCACTCTGTCTGTCACGCTCTCTGTCTTCTTTCTGTCTGTCTGTCGTCTGTCTGTCTGTCTGTCTGTCTGTCTGTCTGTCTGTCTGTCTGTCTGTCTGTCTGTCTGTCTGTCTGTCTGTCTGTCTGTCTGTCTCTCTCTCTCTCTCTCTCTCTCTCTCTCTCTCTCTCTCTCTCTCTCTCTCTCTCTCTCTCTCTCTCTCTCTCTCTCTCTCACTCTCCTCTCTCTCTCTCTCTCTCTCTCTCTCTCTCTCTCTCTCTGTCTCTCTCTCTCTCTCTCTCTGTCTCTCCGTCTCTCCGTCTCTCCGTCTCTCCGTCTCTCTGTCTCTCTGTCTCTGTCTCTCTGTCTCTCTGTCTCCCTGTCTCTCTGTCTCTCTCTCTCTGTCTCTCTCTCTCTCTCTCTCTCTCTCTCTCTCTCTCTCTCTCTCTCTCTCTCTCTCTCTTTCTCTCTCTCTCTCTCTCTCTCTCTCTCTCTGCCAACTGGGATGATCGTTGCGCGCCCGGGCACCGTGTCAGCCTCCCGATCGGCTCGCCAACTGGGTTGATCACGATGCACCCGGGCACCGTGTGCTTATCGGCTCGCCAACTGGGTTGATCACGATGCACCCGGGCACTGTACGAAACCAGTCGCCCGGCCCCGGTGCCGTCCCGCCGCGTATGGACCGAAGAGTTTCACTCCCACTTGTTGGCCGCGGCATCGAGTTCGACCGGGACCGACCAAACAGTGCACCAGAGGGAGGGGGATCACGTCGTGGCCAGTTAATAATGGACTGGGAACGAGGGCGACCTAGGGTGGCTGGACGTCCGTGCGCTTGCCTTAATGAATGACATAATTATGAAGGCAATTATGCGCAGGCGCACGCGTGAGTGGGCGTTCGGCGCGTTTGAATGCGGCATGTGTGTGTTGTGCCAAGCAGTGCACAGGAAAAAGGGCATTCAGTCAGTGCCGGTGGGAGTAGGGCACAGCGGAAGCGTAACGAAGTCCCGAAAATTGGCGTCGCCTTCCCAACAGCATAGCTGTAAACAAGATAGTACGATGAGTTATCACATTCTAACGAGTTTCTAACGAGTTTCTAACGAGTTTTCCGTTGCAGGGTGACAGTGGGGGACCGATGCACTGGCAGGCCAAGGACGGGAAGACTAATATCATTGGTAAGTAAAGGGGACACCGCCCCTACGCGCAAACACGAGGAGGAATCCCTGATCCGGGACGCTGTGCGCGATGTGAGGCTTGAGGCAGGCACGTCAAGCGCCAGGTACGTCGAAGCTAGTCCCCAGTCCACGCCGGAAGAGCGGCGGTCTTCGGGACGGATTCTAATCAGCCTCGAATTAGGCATATACGGGCGGTTTAGGCATCTGTGTCACAGATGGCGTCTGATGAGAACCCAGATTGGAGAGATCCACGATCTTGCCACGAGCGGCAGATGCTCTCGCTGCCACTGACGAGTCCCCGCGACGGCGCAGATAAATCAACCGGAAAACCTGCCCCGCCATGCCGCGCCAACGAAAGCACCACGCGCGTTTGTCTTCATCTCACGTCTGACCTAATCTCACCACCCGGCAGGAATCGTGAGCTGGGGTCAAGGTTGTGGTCGTCCAGGCCTTCCCGGCGTGTACACACGAGTCTCCAACTATCTCGACTGGATCGAGCACAACACGCCCGACTCCTGCTACTGCGGCCGCAGAACTCCCAGACGGAGGCGCCACGCACCACAAAGCGCACGAGCAAACAGCGCGCGCTTCGTCATGCGGGGCACCTCGCATTCCGAAGACAACGCCGGCGGCGCCGGCCGCGCGCGGCGCGCCGCTACGCAACAGGACCTCAACGCACGCTCTCATCGGCGGAGCTAGCGCGCGCTGGCGCCCGCAGAGCTGGCGCACGCGCCCAGTTGGCGCCTGGCCTCGGCTGGAGCGAGGCGTCCACGCGCGGCTGGCGGCGACTCGCGCCCGCTGTCAGCTGGCCGGCAATTACCGCACGGCGGTGGCGGCGGAACGGCCGAGAAGTAGAACGGCCTGTGACCCATTTCCGCCCGGCCGCCAGCAGCCGGGAGCGGGCCAAAACAGAAAGTCATCGCTGTCGCAGGATCGAGGCCAGAGGCTGCGCAGCTCGCCGACTCCCCAGTCCACCAAGACTCACGCGAGTCCAGGACCGCACGCGGGCTCGCGCCGGCGAGGCGCGTGAGTCGCGCACGCGAGTCGCGCGCGAGTCGGTCACCGCAGTCCGGCAATTGGACCGATGTGCGGTGTTTGTCTTTCATGACCGGCGAGGAAGATTGAATTGGGAACTGCGAGTGACTGCGAAGCGCGTTACCAGTGAACGCGGGTCAGTGTGTGGACTGTGAATTCGTTCTGACTCGGATGTCAGCGTAGCGAACTGAGGCTGGGGAGGGCGGGGTGGGGGGGGGGGGGGGGAAGGGGGGGGGGGGCGTGCGGGCGAGGGCTCGTAGTAGCGGCGTACCTTTGTGTTCCTCTCACGCGTCCTCACGGAGAGTCCTCCGAGAGTCCTCACCTGACGTCCTCTGGATTGTCACTGACTCTAGTCGCGTACGCGTAGACATACCCTACTGCGCACGGAAACGGCCCATTGTGAAGCACAACCGCGGACTCTCCCAATGTCAAGTATGTTCGGTGTTGGCGGGGCGTAACGACGGGCGGCTCGCTTTGTAACCCGAGCATGAAAGCGGAGATGACACACTTAATTTCGGCGTCCTCGACGCGAACGAACTGGTGCTCACACGCCCACAGTTTTCTGTGAATCACACGTCATTTTACTGCACGTAAGCCTGTTTTCTGTGAATCGCACGTCAATTTACTGCACGTGAATTTGTTGCTCCGCACATGTCTCGCAGTCTGATCTGCCCCTCCTGATGCCGGCGCGCCCACAGTCGCTGTCAGGGCAGATCACAGCGTACACCAGCCGGAATGCTGCGGGATATGCGATGGGTTCTGTCGGAATCGCTGTTCATAAGACCGTTGATGTGCGTTCATTGGCAGAAATAGGCAGGCAGTCGGTTGCAGACCTACTCATCAGTGATTCCTGCCAAAGCAACGATGATCGAAACGCGTCTGTCTGTCTGTCTGTCCGTCTGCCGTGCAAGTATGAAGCATTGTTTAAACATTCACAACTCAGGTTTGTTAAGTTTCACCCGTATGCCGCGTTTCGTTAAGTTTTCAAATGAAGTTCCTTGGGTGAACATGACTTGCTCTGTTAAAGTGTTACCTCCTTGTGTTAAGCTCCACAGCAACTGTTACACCCCTGCAGCAGGATACGATACTGATGCCTCTCACGTGCTAAGTTTCTTTAAATTTTTATCACGTCTTGTCTCCTTCCGCTTATGTTTTCCTATCATTTTGTGTTACAATACTCTCATGATCGCTTTTTGTCCCACATCTGCGGGATAAATGCCTGAAATGAAGCAGTTTGGCACTCTCCACTTTACGGCAGGCCCCTTGATCACGATGTTGTTTGCCACAACCTGGTCACTTGAGTTCAAGACATGTGTATCTCTGTGCGCACTCCGCTGTGTCAAGGTCTGTCGAGGTCTGATAATACAAAACATGTCATCAGGAGGTTACTTTGCGGACGCTGCGCGGCCGTCAAATACGGATTTTCTCTGGCCACTCAAGATCATGCGGCTAGGAGCCCACCTTTCACCTGATCTGATCTGATGAACTCACTGATCGCTCACAGCCCAACAATGACATAAACAAAATAATGCCAGAAGTACCAGAAGACTTGTACATACCTTGTAATATAACTTGCAATAGCCAGACGATTTGTGACGTAAATAAATTTTGGTGAAAACGTGAGGAAAAGCTTTCGGCATGTTGGAAAACGCAACAGTAATTAAACCGGATTACTAGACGATTCGAATCGCCAAATTGTAATGATAGAGGTAGCTTTATGTGAACATTCATGCGGGGCTGGATAAACTTGCGGTCAAAATGATAATTTGATCGCTTAGCCTTTTCAGCTCGTTCAGATCCATTCGAGAACCTTGTCGTGCGGGCCACGAGCAAGAAGCGAAGTGATATTGGAGCCGGCCAGCTCTGGCCACAGGCTAACACTCCACCTTGAGTCCAAGCCGTGTTTCATGCAGACGGAGCCTTCCATGCGCTTGGACAGGAGTGATCAAAGAAGGCTTGAAGCCGGCCCTTGGCCGTAACTGACTGCAGCAAAAGTCCTGTGTAGCAGAGCATGCAGAAATACGGAGCGCACCATTGGCGAGGATAGGATGAGAGGAAGTATGAATCGTTAATTGATCCGCCGTTCTATGATTCAGTATTTAGAGCCTAGATGACCTAAAACTACTGGTCGGATAAGTACTGTACTCTCAGCAAGCCAGTAATCGGCGATCAACATTTTTCCTTGGTCGCCATGTTACCTGAAATCACAGGGCTGCTGCTGCACATCGTTTCGGCCATCCGCGTGGCTTCTGCTTTTTTGTTCCATTCAAGCCGCCGCTGATCAGCTGTTGGCTATTACCAATCGGCTCAGTAGTGGCGCCTAGCGGCAAGTCAAATAAGCTCAGGTGCAGTGACTAGCCACACTAACATTGGCGGCAGAGAAGGCCAGCGTCGTTGAAGTACGCTTCGCGCTACTGGCACAGCGTAACGAAAACAAAATGAAATAACGACTGGATTTATCATCACTCTATGACATTTGTATGATGAATAGTGGCTAGTGGTAGTGCAATGAAGTTTGCTCGCAAAGAGCGAGATATTTGTATGCTTTTTGTGATTGGATTTTTATATCTACTTACTCTCCATGACGCCATTCACAGCCCTAGGGACTTTCCTCAGATGTGAGCTCATCCCAGGGGTCTATTGCCAATTCTTTAGATTCGAAGCTCTCCAAAAAGCCTCATTGTTTACCCCTATATGTGACTTTACCACATAGCCAACAGTCACATTTTGGAGCCCTTCGGGACCAAATGTTCCCCTCCCCCAGCGCGCAGGGCCTGAATAGAAGCTGAAGCATTTCTTTGGATAAACTCACTCCGGTAGGTTTAACGCTAGGCTTGTTATCCAGAGGAGCCGCTGCATCCGGTATCTGCATCTGCATCCGCTCATCCACCTTGTCGCATTTTCATCACACCCATCGCTAATATTTGGTAGTCAAATATTTGTGTACAGTGGACGTATCTCGAGGCCTCAAACATCAGTCCACTGCCTTGCGAACAGTTGTGGCAAGAATGAGACGGCATCATATCATGCAACAGTAAATAAAAACAGAAAACAAAGCAGGAGGAGGGTAGGTGAGATCCCCACAATCTCCGAACGAAGGTATTGTCCCCTTTTCAGGAATTTCGTAGCAAAACTTCCAGAACGGATTTTAAATGCTCATTTAAATGCTCGCGCTCATTAAATGCATGCCAGACCGTCATAAAACAACTTTTATTGCTCACGTGGGTCAAGCAGACAGCAAAAAGGCACTCTCTGTCCGCGGCAGTCGCAAGCATTGGATACACGGATCTGAGGTCATTGCAAACAATGACTGACTAGCGCACACGCACACTCACAAGATCCGGGTATCGCACTACCCATCTGCGATCAGATTCATAATCAGGCTATCAAACACACATAGAAGGCCGGCAGGGCTGCTAGGCCTCCAGCTGGTAGGCACGCAGCTCTGCTAGTCCTCCAGCTGGCAGGCACGCAGCTCCCTCTGCGGTTCTAAACCAAGCACCTGTCGTAAAAAAACAAAAACAAAACACGGATAGCGTGTCAGGGCTGTAGCCCGCGCGCCACATCCTGCAGCACAGTTCGTCCACGACGTAACCAAATGTCTCTGAGGGCGTCGTTGACGATAGATGACGTCACGCGGGCCGTCGTTGACGATCAAAAACGTCATCTGGGTGGTGATTTGAGACACCAGCGCAGGAACGTATTGGACCTTGCCCGCAAGCCGCCGGAGGAAATCCGCCGCTGCCTGCGCCATTTTCCCGCACAGGATACTTTAACGCCGCACAGGATACTTTAACACCGCACAGGATACTTGAACGCCGCACAGGATGCTTTTACACCGCACGGGGTACCTAACACCACCCCGCACAGGCAAATGACACACAGTCTTCACCCAGCTCCTGGCTTGACGCAAGTCACATGCTGCACCCCGTGTCAACACTAAAGAGGCTCGCATGCCTCGAACGCCAGACAGCAGCTCAGTAAGCTCGGAAACAGTCTGCAGTACTGTGTGGACGATGCGGTCGTACACCGTTGCGATGCGGTCGTACACTTTTGCCACCACTGACAGCTGGCCGGCAACGACAGCGGGTCACCTCTAGCTGGGACCGACTCTTTGGTTTCCAAACATACTGGAAACATCGAGAATGTTCCCGTGGGACACGTCTGTGATGTGTCTGGGAACAGACGACGAGCTCAACTTCGGTGCCATCACCACCAAGTGTAGGTTCGAGGGGGCAAAGACATGACAAGTACTCTAAGCGTACCAACTGGAGAAAACCCATCCTTTTCCCCCACTTCCATGGTAGGTGAAATACATCTCATGTCTAAATGGTTTATCGAACACAAATATGTTTTCATTACTGATCCCGTGTACAGCTCCGAATAGCTCCTAGGCGCATGCTGAGCATAACCTGTCGCCGCACGACAACACGCGTGCGAGAAAACAGCAGTCCGAAACGGGGAAGTGGACGCACAAACAAATCATATCGCAGAAGAATTCCCCCATCATATTTTTGAAAAGTCGGTGACCTTTAACTCCAATTGGTACCCAACACACCATACCCCTTGACAACAAAACCCGACTGCACCATCCTACCGCTTTCCTTCGGGCGTCGGCGACCGGAACAGTTTCCGCGGCCTCCAGCCCGACCTTGGCCTCTGCTCCGCCCTCTCCAGCATCGGCGTCGAGGGACAGCTCCTGACTGGCGCAGGCGGCGAGGCGGTGGGCGGAGCCTCCGCATCTGCGCCAATCACCGGCGGCGGCGGCGGCTGACTAGCGCCCATGGCCATGCTCTGGCGAATCAACGCGCCGATCGCCGCCCCCTTCCGCTTCTTGGCGTGGCGCAGCCGCAGGAAGTGCGCCACCCGCGAGCCGGCCGACTTGCCCCCGCCGGCGGCTGCCGGTGCCGCCGCTGACGGCACCTCCGGTCGCGCGTCCTCGACGCTGATGTCACTGAAGTCGCTGCCGCAGCTGACGTCACTAAGGCGCACAACCTCGTTAATGGTTCCGGTGCTCTTGCTGTGCGCCAGACCGGCGGACCGCGCGTTCTCCCGACGGCGCGGCGGGCGTAGCGGACTCTCCGCGCCGGCGCCGAACGGAAACGCGCCGTCCACACGCTCGCCGCCCTCGGCGCCCGCCGGCAACGCCGACCACGTGGCACCAAAGAACTCGTCGCGCGCCCGGCGCAGGCGCTCGGCGCGCGCACTGGCCACCGAGCCGCGCGACTCGCGAGCGCGCGAGTGCTCGAACGCCGAGTCGAACGACGAATCAAGCGACGAGTCTAGAGCGCCGGATGACGTCGCGACCAACGATGACGTCAAACTGAGCGGCGACGTCACGCCAGAGGAGGACGGCGTCATGGGGGAGGGGGGCGACTGCTGGTCAGGGAGAATGCGCGTCCGCGCAGACACCGGCGAGCTGGTCAGGCGCGGCACCTGACTCGCGATCGGCGGCAGCGGGCTCCAGCGGGGAGGCAGGGCGGCCAGGCCCAGACCGTCAGCGCCTCTACCGGCCGCCGGCAGCGAGCTCGACTTGGCCAGGTCGCCGACAGATGGCTCCAGCTGCGGCACGGCGCTGCCGCTGGCGGAGCGCGCCTGCACGGCAGCACTGACATCGCCCCCTTCGTCTCCATTGTCGTCCGCACACGAGGCTGACGCCACCACGCCGTCTGACAAGCTCTTCTGCAACTGGAGCGCCAGGTTGGGCGGCTCCAGCCGCGGCCGTGACGTGACCAGCTCTTTACGTGACGTCACTGGGGTGCTGGTCTCCGGCGTGTCCGAGATGTTGTTGAACTTGTCGATCATGCCGCGGATGCTCTGGCTGGAGCCGGCCTGACTCAGAACGCTACGCTTGGACTGGTCCGAAGGTCGGCCGGCGTCAGCACCGAACGCGGCGGGAAATGCGGCGGCGCTAAGCAGCGAGGCGCCCCTCGCACGGCGTCGCCGAGTCGGCTTCGCTGCCCTCGGCGCTCGGCGTCGAGTCCTGCGACGTCACCGACAGGCTCGGCCGCATTGGCGACCTTGACCCCGTGACCTCGGTCTGCCGGAGCAGTAGCGGGCTCGCCGTCGGGGTGGGCGTCGTGCTGGACAGACGGTCACTCTCCTCCGACGGCGCTGGCCGCAGGCTCACGCTTTCCTCCGCCGTCCCAGTGACGTCAGCCACCGGCGACGGCGGCGGTGTTTCGGCTTGCTCTCTGACGGTAACCTTGACAAGACCCTCGTCGACCGAGTACACGGTTCGCTGGGCCGCCACCAACACGGGAGCGTTGGAAGCAGGAGGAAGGCCGGAGAGACTGCGCGTGTCCACGGTTGGAATTTCAAAAGTTCTTGTGGCGCCGGCCGTGAACGGCCGCTCTTCGCACGCAGAAGACACACTCGGGGAGGCGTGCTGACGGCGCATGCGCAGAGCGCTCGCGCTCCAGTCGCTGCGCTCTGATTGGCTATCGGCGATGTCGTCTTCCTCCTCCTCGATTAGGTGTTCTGGCTGCTCGACCATCTGAGGAACGGAACGCTGTCGGTGTGGGGGAATGCATGCAAGTGCTGCGGATAAGACGTGGAGCGATGGAAGTTACGGTTCAACCAAAACAAAAGCCTCAAAAACCGTAGACCAAGTATATTTTGTAATTGAATAAAACTCATGATCGACTGATTCACACGGGAGAAGGCCATGAAATGGACGGGTGAGGGGCTCCGTTTTCGTTTTTGGCGTGCTTTTTGCAGAAGGCAAATGTGACCATATTCTACAAGTCTGTAGCAGACCACGAAATCGAATAGCAAAGAAACGCACTGATGGCGTTAGGTCGATCGTCAGCTCAAGCAAGCACTTTGCGAAGCGGCCGAGTTTTCAGATTTGACCCGCATGGCTCAGCACGCCCATCCTCATCAGGCCCGAAAGAAAATTAATGTCTATGAAAGAAAAAAGATCGTAAGTACGGGCGGTTGTTAAGTGCAAGAGCACTACGCAAATAGATAAAACAATAGTAATAACATTATGCCTCGTAGAGAAACCCGGAGAGCTGAGAAATCGACTCATTGATTTTCCAGTAACTTGCCTTTATCGAAACGTCAACGCATCTATCTCTCCACTCTCTTGGTTTTTTGCGAGGAATACAGTTATGACTAGTCTTTAGTGCGGACAGGTGTATTGGAGGCTGCAGCAACTGTCCGTAAATGAGCGTCAACGCCATTCACAAGTACATCAGGTCACGCACCTGAAAAGTCTGAAAATACCTGAAAAAGTCTTGGTTCGTCAACGTCTTCCGAGGAGGGTATGCTGGAGGAGCGACTGCGGTAAGACGAGGGAGTCGATATGACGTCATCGGAGCTCTTGCGCCGACGGTCCAGCGCATAGTCAGCCTCCACCGTTTCCAGCTCGCGTTGCATTTCCTGCAGACAAATTTCACCAGTTGGAGCCGTACGGAAAACTTGAGGTAAGGTGAAAAAGCACGGAATAAGACCGCCAAAGCTTTTGAAATCTGCTGCTAGCGGTCCTCACCACAAAACAAAAACCGTCAGGACGCAGACAAGTGCTAGTAATAACTAGCTGACATGTGTCTGGAACTCCCAAAAAACAACCCCTGAATCCCATTAACATGGAACCCTGCGGAACCCCGGATCCACCATGAGATCCAGGCACATGTTTGATCACCAGTACTTCCAAAGCCAAAAAGGTTGCGTGCTCATGTGCGAAAACATAAACAACTGCCGAGAAGAAAACGGCCGACAGAAAACGCTTCAACAGTGCCAAAGCACAATACAACCATAGCGATACCGCAATGCTAGAGAGAGAGAGAGGGACACGGCAGTGGCTTTGCTCAGCGACCCTGAAAAATGCACACCTAAAATTTGACGCCACCTTACGGGCTTGATACCGCGTGACCCCACTGCGACAACCAGCTTTGTCCAAATGCGTCGCTGAGAAAACGCATCGGATCGCAGACGTCGAACTTACCCTCAGAGCTGACGACAGATCTGAACACCCCACGGGGCATGCTTTAGAGAGGTGCGAACTGCTTCCGTCATGCCCTCCCCTTTGAGTTTGCCTTGAAATTTGGAGTTGCACCCTGGTCATGTCCATGTGCTGCGATCACAGTGTTAGCCCAGAAACTTTGCACTGGCAATATCATTTGACGTTTGCCCCTTGCCAAGGACATCGTGCGTGGCGTCGCCTTTTCCCTGGACGTGGATCTTTCTCTCACCCCCCCATCACCAGTGAACGAGTCACCACGAATGACCCACCCTGTAGTTATGCACCGTGGCAAACGCAATCCGCGACACCCATATTGGCTAGCGCTTATGCTAATTTGATATAATAATAATAATTGGCAGCTATTGTCCCCGTCTGGTGTATTAGTATGCACAATGTGGTGTACATACTGACACCAGACGAGGGCGTCAGTCCGAACCATAAGGCAATCGGTGGTGCCGACATCTCGTCTCAATCATTCCGTGACACCACACCTGACACCGTGCTTTGACCCTCGACGTCGTGACCGACCTTGAGCGTCTGGTCGTAGGAGGTGTACAGGTCTGCCTTGTCCCTCCACTTGGCCGCCGCCCCGAGGTCCTCCACCGATGAGCGCGATGAGGAGCAGGGTGAGGTCGCCTCCTCTGGAGCAAGGCACCGGCCACGCCGGGGGTCGGTGAGCACGCCATAGTCGCCAATAGATGGCGCGCGGTTCGGATTATGCGACGCTAGATGGCAGGCAAGTGGTGACGCACCATCAGGTGCAACGTTTTGTGAAACTCGTTACTTAGGGTAAAACGCATTCGCGAATATTATACACTGTCGCGCCTGACTGCGAGGAGCAGCTGCGACCCCGACGTCATTATGAGGCAGCAATATGGATGTAGGCTTGTGCTGAACTGTGTCTTCCAAAATTTGTCACGGGACTCGGATCAGTTGAGACTAGATGCGATATATCCTCTTGCGACTAGCGACAGTGTAAAATAAAGCCTGTTAAAATGCGAATGATAAACCGTTCCGCTTGTTTTGGGCGTTGAACAGTCCGCCAGCGCGCCAGTTACGCCTAGCTGAAGGAGAGGGAGCATAACTCAGAAGGCCCATCACAGGTTGCAAAAGGCGCGCGCAAAACCTGTGGTAATAATGGGGCAACGTTACAAAAAAGCGCCATGGCTGCTGTTGGTCACACTAGCTATCACTCAGCCGCGCAGTCTGACCTGGAGTAGTAGGACACATGAGGTCGCCCTGGACTGACACCTCCTCTTGAGTCTCCTCTGGTGGAAGACCGAGCTGCTCGAGAGAGTCCAACTCCTGGAGAGGTCGCAAACACTGCCGCATTAGCTTTCTGGTGCTCATGCCATTGCAGGGACAAGACTCCGTACAAAGCGGTTTTTTGGAAGAGGAGGTGATGGGGCAATGTACATTATTGGAAGGAAAAGGAGATCCATGAATTTTTCCTCCTCTAAAAACCCATGGCTCTTCTCAACCCTAAAAACATTCGGGTTGACGTGGCAATGTGGGGGGGGGGGGGGAGGGACACACAACATCAGGGGGAGGGGACATGGCCTTCTGGAGGATATACAAACTTCTACCTATGCCTAATGACGTAAGACCGCGCATGACACATATTTCGTACCACGCATTAGCATGCAAAACCCATGCACTCATAAATAAATCCTGAGACCTTCCAATATATTTCATTAAAGCGATTCCTATCCTAAAAGAATCTGCAAATTAAAGTGCGGAAAAGATGCCCTCTGCTGTATGGTAAGATACAGATCACGATGCCTTAGGTGAGCCGCGTTTGAGTCCATTCGCACTTAAACGATATGTGGGAGCCACGCATATCAATTCTTTCAGCTCCTTAACATTGTTCGAAAACAACACGGAAAGGAATTCAAAGCATGCCCTCAACGCTGCTCGAATACGTTGGCTGATCTCACCAACAGCTGTGACGAAGTTAATACAACCACTGCCGACTATTTTCGTTGAAAGTCCATCGTCATGCACCCACAGCACCTGGTGGGCTTTCTCTTGGGTGGAGGCCACTGGCAGACGAAATGTGAAGGTGGCCGTTTTCTCGGGACTGAGTTCGTCACTAGATGGCGCTGCCTCCTCGAGGGCAGAGCTCAGGCTGAGGTCATGAGAGCCGGACGGACTTTGAGGTGTGCCTGTAATGACAGAAAATCACTGCGTTTTGCTTCAGTTTGCCATGCGCCCTAAGATTCCATCTGCGGCGACGACAAGCGAGACCATAACCGAAATGATTGTAATCACCATACAGCGTGTGCCTGATCACCAGCAAATAGGGCCGTCGCATTTGGAAACTTATACGTATAGGACTTATGAATGCTGTAGAATGTCTTCCTCTCATGAGTTTAGCAGGCGGAATCGTCATGATGTTCAGCATTCCGGCACAACTTAAAAAATGGCCGCTGGCATTACGTCAGTTATAAAGTGCATTTTTGAGGAGCATTCCACACTTGCATGAGACAGTACTTCTAGTCGCAAATTTCGTCCAGGAGAGAGGAAAGATAGCTGCATTAATATTTCAGCCAACGACACCTTTGGCAGACAACGGCACCTTACCTCATGATCTAATCAAAAACACTTCTCATGACTAACAACACTCAACAACTGAACACTACTCATAATCGCTTTGCTCAAGACATGGGACCGAAATACTTCCGCACACATCTCTCCTTTCTCCTGGTTATTCGACGAGAAGTAAGGCTAAAAGGGCTTTCTTATGACTGCTGGAAGATTAACTGGCTTTCAGCCAGCCAAGGCCTAGCGATTTTTTCTCGACAACAAAGGTGACTTTAGAGATGTTCACGCTCATGGTGACCATGGCACAAGTGTTGTGTGGAAACGACAGCATTTTAGAGAAACTGATCGCAGTAAACTGAGTTATGCAAATGCTTAGTGGTCGTGGCTACATCTATGTCGGCATACGACACAGTTTGTGGTATTTGAGGCCGGTTTGGGAGAAGGTGACATTGGGTGCTCCGGCGCTGCGCTACTAGCACATCTCTGCGTCGGACAGCGCTAGATTCGCTGGATGATCTAAATACGGTACCCTCAGGTCTTATCAGTAAGTAATGAAATCATGGTAAAAAATAGACGTTCAATTACTTTGTGAATATACACCCATGATCACGGACTAGCATGGCAATTATCATAGTTGGTAGGCCGTGGATCATGCCGATGGTAAGTTATTTAGTCACAGTAGCAATGAAACGAAAATCATACAAATATCCTGCCCGTACAGCCAACAAACAAGCGAGAACCTTTGTGCGACCGACTTAAGTCAAGAACTTCAGAAAATACACAGTCACGTATACATACATTGCAGAAATCGGCACCCAATGCCCATACGCGTACATAAGCTTTCTTTTCCATATTTCAGTCTTGTGCTGCCACAACCATAAGACTTACCAGAACCACGTGCAGTGCAGAGCATGAGCATTTCTCGCTGAAGCTCTTCCACTTTCCGACTGAGCTGTCCTGGAAGGGCTGACCAATCAGCAGGTTGCCAAGAAGATTTATGCGAACGCAGCCAATCAGGGGAGTCCCCCGTTCTGGGCCAAGCTCTGCTGTGATGACCTTGAGAGAACGATCTGGTAGGCCGCTTTCCTTGCCGGGGACCGAGCACCTTCTCCAAGCGTTTCGCCTGCAGTGGGAGGAAAGGCATTACATCACGGCTGCGACTATTGCGTAGCTATTTTTCAGCCTCATGGGGTGCAATATTGGTGTGTTTCGTATCAATAAACGGTGACGACGATAAATTACCTTTAACTACTATATGATCTACTCCCTCCGGTAAGGAAAGTGTGCACTGGCACATTAAATGTCGAAGAAATCCACAATGTTTTGTTATCACCGGACACATTGGTGACACCTGAAAATGTGTGGGTGATGCTGCTACTCAATTCAGCAATGCATTCATACTTTAAGCCCGCAAATAGGACAATAAAACGGCATTGATACATTCGTGACATCGACAGCGAGCTATTGATGCCAGCAATCTCTTTGCTTTAGTGTTTAGCGTTTTATTTCAGTGACGTTCTGTAATCCGTTCAGGGACACTATGCACAAACGTCGATAGCCATCGCTTGTCAACTATTGTAAAGGTTTTCTCGACCAGTAGACATCACCGATGGAGGCTGGCTGGGAGCGATTATAATTAACTTATCCACTTCCACCACCAAGGTCGTGCTGACCTGTGACAAAAGATCAGTGCTGATTTCCTGAAGTTTATCCACTGTTTTCTTGTCGACCTGTCTCCGTCGGACACCGGGAGATGGCAGTACCAGTCGTTCAGGCTCGTCTACCCGCAGGCTGTCTGCTACAGTAGCATCCGGTTCCTCTGGGGATACGACGCACAAGATACAAATACTGGTAGAACTAATCGGCACTCAGTTTTGTCTTGCATTATTTTATTTTGCTTACATCCGTTGAACAGGCAAAACAGCATGGATATGAATGATGAACTCGGGAGTACCTTCTATAGCTGGAGGGGAGTCTTCAGCAGCGACATCTATTGACGATCCGGCAGCATGTAGTTTCCTCATGTTGCCCACCAGGTGCCGGGCCAGGTTGGCCTGCTGATCGCTGTGATGCTGAAGTGAGGCCTGGAAACAAAACACCCGTGTTCAGAGGCGAGGTTAGCAGTTGCAGAAAGCGACGTTTGGTGCACCTTCTGCTAAGAGAACGAAATGTCGAATAAACCACACACGAGCCGAATCGGCCTGTCGCATTCTAGATCCGGCCGGGTAAAGTCGGAATATGCGCATACCGTTGACGGGCGGGACCGACGAATGATAGTAAAGTTACCATGGAGTAGAATGGAAGAATGAAAGAGGAGTGGAAGCACAGGAGAGAGATGGAACAGTCCGAGCCATCGAATAGGAACATTTCTTCGGGAGATACCTACTTCTGATGTCATACTTGTAGTGACATCACATTGCGTATGCCACATGATATAATGATTATAGCAAGATATGCGAATGATGTGATAAATGGGTGGTATGACACCAAGCGGGTTAGCAATCGAACAGATCCCTCACTTAATTCGATCTTGAACCTCACCACTCCACAAAAGTCTCGTCTACCGGAAGTTGGTACCGCTGTTCGCGGAAGAGCACAGGGGAAGTGCGACGGCAACGAGATAAAGGCCTCACACGCTCGTGACTTCAGACATGTGCGTGGGTATCTCGAAAACTTCGCCCTTTATCAGCTTTGTCAGAAAATTGTCGTCATCGTTTAGCCAAAACTACCATACATTTCGGCTGTCATTGCCCTTGCCAGGAAACATTTGACCTGGTTTGATCCCAAAGCTCAGCACCTGCGCCAAACCTGTGTAGCATCAAGCATGTTCCACGCGTCGCCACGCTAAACGATCCTAATTTTCACCGTGTAAGTTCGGTTTTTTCGCTGATAAATATTTTCGGTTGTGATTGCTAACCCATATGATACTCACCCAGATGTTACTCTCTGAACGTTAAACAAATTATTAGCGAGCTCAAAACACCCGTTCTCAACTTAAAATGTGTATTATGACAGAACCCGACCAGTGCCGTTAAAATCTATGCTCGTAGAAGTGACCTACCTTGACATGAAACGCCTAACCACACGACTACGACTGATAGACGCGGCTTCATACCACACACTTTTGCCAGCTATGCACGACGAATAATGCGTTTGTGAAAAGAAGCCCAGACCTAAAGCATGTATTCTTAGCTAGAAAAAGCATGTGTGTATCTCCACAAGCAACGATAGACAAAGGCCATCCACCATGTCTCTGTAGCCTTGTGAAGGTAGTCTACCAATTACCCACTTCTCTATTTGTACACTGACGACCCAACTACCTACTCCATGTAATCCCCATGCATTGGGGTCATCCACAACGTCTCTGCAGCTTTGTGAAGTTAGGCTACCAATAAGCCACTCCTCTATTTGTACACTGGCTAACTAACCAACTGCCCACTCCATGTGATTCCCATGGATTGGATCACCTTCACGTTGTCAATAATGTAATATCTCGTCGTCGTACGCATCAGGCATAAGTCCCCTCCGGTATCCATCCAGAACTAGCGGATCCCGCCAACGCGTTTCAACTATTCCAAATAACCGCAGCTAGAATTGCAATCGATAAAGCAGTGAACGCGGCCGGTAGGGTTCGAACCTACGCTCCCAGAGGGAATCTGATTTCAAGTCAGACGCCTTAACCACTCGGCCACGACCGCCACAACGGCGACCGCGCACTACGTTTTCGAAAGAAATGCACGCTTTTCAGCATCGCGGACAGAAAATCCTTTCGAAGGGCATTATCGGAACTTTGTAATTCGGCATAACCCAAATCCTTACCAGCTGTCATTTTGAGCAGCAAAACTGCCTCCAAGCAGTTCAGCCTGGTCGTCCATTTCACTCATTAATATTGCATGGGTGACAACGGTAATAAAAGCAGATCAAAGTTTTGTCAGAGCTTAGATAACTGGATTTACCTCGACAAAACCCGGACTGGAGCCTCATCTTAGTCAGGGATTTCAGTCAGCGTCGAATCAGATCAAAGGGCAAAGAATATCTCATGGCAGCTATGCAGGAAGCAAAAGCTTCATTACATGCCAGCAAGGTGCAATTGCCCTGCAAGCTACGACTCCTCAAAACGTCATTAGGACTTTGTTTAGGATTGAGTTAAATAATTTTGTTGTGATCGCTGGACTTTAAAGTTGCTAGCGCAGTCTCTACCAATATTTTTGAAAGCTGCATTCCACATCGAAGTCCCTTTTTCTCTCCCATTTCACTGGGGAGAGTTCATGGTAGAAGGAGAGGGATTTTTTCCCGCCCAGTAAACATGCCATAGGATGTCCTGCTTCACCACACTGGCATGAGCATTAGTGTTTCACTCGTAGAATGCTCCTAAACCATATAAATCATGTTTGCCCACCGCATCAAAAGCTGTGTGAAACGTTCTGTACCTGAGAACCGATTAATCACAATCGTATCGATTCTTGCATGGTGCCAATGCGCATTACGTAGAAAAATGACGTCAAATCCCATCACTTTTCCAATTGCTTTCAACCATGTCTCGCACTTGCTTGCCACAATCATAGATGAAAATAAGTGACTTAAGATGTTCCGGTCGCACCCAAGCCTTCTTCTAAAAGAATCGATCACAACGCGATATGATCAGCGCCTTGCTACCCAAGGTAACCAAGGAATCATTTCCGTCCAACCGCATGCCAACACGAGTGTCATGCCAACCAACAACTACCAACTACCCAATCCATGTGATTTCCATGCATAAGTGACCAGGACATGCCAGTCGGAGACCTCTTAATGCGCTGCCACCTGAGTTCCTGGTACGGTGGCCAGCCTGCAAACGAGGAAGCGTGCTGGTTTCAAGAATGAGGGAACGTCGTCGGAACCACATGGCCTGGCGGGGCCCCAAACGGCCGAGATGTGATGCGAAGGTCTCGTCGGAACTCGTGAAAGTCCTCGGGAGTGCCGAACATAAAGAGCTGATCGCAGCCGGTAGGGTTCGAACCTACGCTCCCAGAGGGAATCTGATTTCAAGTCAGACGCCTTAACCACTCGGCCACGACTGCTTGCTGGGCAGAAAGGTGATGCACCTGTGCCAGAAACGCATGGCGAAGCTCTGCGCTCACTCAGCCCCCTCCGACTCATCAAGCTCCATCACCCACTGACATTCCAATGGCAACATCTGTGCTACAGGTGGCAACGACCACAGGTGGTCGTTTTAGAAGTGCGGCTCTGACGTAAATGCATATTGGCACTTCTTCTTCCGCACAGGCCGATCGTATGCGCCGTTTTCATCACCATCGGTGTACGTGTAGCGAAGAAAATCGCCCTGGCGCTCGTCTGCTCGATTATAAAACTGGTAAACGCATGTATAGCCATAATCCACTTCCAAGGGTTTAGTGCGTCCGGCGCATCCAGACAACCATCGGTGCGCTCAAAGCAGCATTCTCAGTTTACCATATTACTTATTACCATATTTACCACATATGCCATATTTACCATATTACCACATATATCCCGTATTAAAACGAGGCGTGATCAGTGTGATTAAAACGTACGCTCTCCAAGGCAACCCAGTTTCATGCCAAATCTTGCGATTTATATGTGGCACACAACGCGTAGGTACACGGAAGCCCGGAATCATGTCATGCCACAGAATGCATTCGTCGATAAAACGTGTGAAACATTGATTTCCGCTAGCAACGAGAGATAATCCTGTTCTCGCGGAACAAACTGACCTGTATATGTATGCATATGCATGCATGTTTATGTATGTATATACGCGCGTCAACTTGGCCAGGTGACATTCAGCTGCAGCTGGACTGCATAAAGCACTTCACGCGGTCGGTAGGACTCGAACCTACGCTCCCAGAGGGAATCTGATTTCTAGTCAGACGCCTTAACCACTCGGCCACGACCGCCCCGGAATACCCCCGCCTCACACCTTTTCGCCACAAATACGTACTTTTCAGCGACACGAACGGGTAAACCGTCATCACCCTTTCAGCCGCCGAAGGTAACTTCTGCTCGTCACGGCAGCTGTCCCCAGCAACGGAACGGAACTGATGCCAGCTAACGTCACTGAACAAACCGGGGATTGTGTGGTACGGACCGCTGCCAGGCGACCTCGTGGGGCTGCTCCGATTTTTGTCACAATTTGTGACCAGCATAGCTATTATCATCACGACCGCGTTACATGCAAACTGCACCGGGAATTCTGCCCAGCCTCCGCCATCACCAGTTCCCGCAATGTTCACGGTATCGCGAGCATACCAGGAGGCCATGCATCCCTTTTGACACATGCGCTCAGGTGGCTGGTTTACTGCAATATGCTCGGGTGAAGGGCGCGACATTCATTTGACCCTCCTGTAATCTCGAATACTAAGAGAGCTAGGGAGACCCCACCAAAAACACACAAAAAAACGCACAGATTAGATGAGGCTCGATGCTCACTCAGTTGTGTCCAATTTTGATGCCACTTCGGCTTGAAATTCGGGCCAATTTAAGGTCAAATAAGTGAAACTTTGGATCGATGACCAAATGACCTCATACATTCTCACTAAACCAGCCTAAGCCCAGATACGAGCTATGAGGAAAATATCACTGGTGTTTACATCAGGTCAGTGGCATTATTTGACATCTATAACGTGCAAATAGCCATGCTCCTAAGGATTGTTTTTATTTTCGAATTCAAAATCGGGACCAAGTATTACCCTACGCGGCATGCTCCCCAAGCCAAAAGCTTGATCGAGGTTCTTCAAGGTCAGTGACCTCCTCCAACCCCCATAAAGTCAAAATAAGACCACTTTTGACATGGCTGCGACCCAGGAATTCGAAAAAGGCGTCAAAAACAACAGGAGAAAGCGACACGATCAGCAATAAAGTGGTTTAAGTTTGAAATTGATCTAGCCTCAACACCTGGCCTAAGGTCAACGAAATTAGTCGTAACCGTATCTTCAATAGCCTACTTGGCTACGAAGCTATCTCAAAGTTGTATGATCTCATCCAGCACTACGCTGGTGCATCATGTTGAACCAGTTCATGGAAGCTGCTCTCGCTGAAACACAGGCATGACCTGATTTTTTCTGACAGCCATTGGCTGAATTTGACCTGGAATAGGTCAGAAACCTTACAAGGCATATCTAAATTGTGACAACAAAAGGTGGCTATTCAGTTACCAACAGGCGCACGAAGATTGGCGTAGCTGCGCCGTGTCTTTTAAGCTTTTCATGGAAAAATTTGCGGACGAGGTTAACTTGACCCATGTCCACCTCCACCCCCCACCCAACGAGCGCGTTGGAAGACAACGACAAAGCAAAGCTGGCTTAAAAATCACGCCAGGTCCAGTGTCGAAAAAGCACGGAGGCGAACGAGACAAGAGTAAGAAAATACGCCAGTTAGTATTTCAAGAAATCAGGTTTGATGAAAAGGCAGCCTTGCACCTCCTCTCCCGGGATGGTTGGGTTGTAAGCCCGGTTACCTTCATTATCGGTGTACGAGCAGTGAGCAAATTGGCTCTCACGCAACGGTCCTCCCGATCGCAGGTGGGTGATATGTTAACGATGCCTAGGGGAAAGGAAGCCTGGAACCGGCTCATACAGCAACGGCATCCTTCCATGATTAGCGTGAACGACTCGGCACTAGAAACGACAAGGCACGGAGTATTTACACCGAACGAACGTGCATGTCACTTTTCCAGGTAACACCTAGCCTCAGCTGGACTGCATAATACATTGCACGCGGTCGGTAGGACTCGAACCTACGCTCCCAGAGGGAATCTGATTTCTAGTCAGACGCCTTAACCACTCGGCCACGACCGCTGTGCGCATTGCTATCCCACACCTTTTCATCACAGGTGCGGGTCTGTCAGCGACGTGGGCGGGAAACCCACAACCACTGTCGGTCCTAACGATCTGCTTTCGACCGCCGAAGGTAACTTCTGCTTTGACATGGTCACACCAGTTGTATCCGGTTGTCGGAATGTTTCCAGTATTCGTTGACATGTCCTTGAGGTGAACGCAGCCAAAGCGCAGCTTATCACATTTGGCAGCCGTCAAAAGCTACGCGCTTTTCCGGACTTCACTGTAACGTTTGGTAACGCTGCGCTGCAACCGTGTGCGGAGGTGAGGAACCTAGGTGTCGTCTTTAACAGCGGCCTATTCTGGGATTCATACGTGTCCGAGCTCAGCCGCCAGTGTATGGGTGGGCTGATAGGCCTGTCCCATGTGCGGCACTGCTTCCGGATGGTGTCATCAAAATTCCAGTGATGGAGTTGGTGCTCATGCAGGTTAGGTACTATCTCATGGTTTATGGAAATGACACACAAAAACAACTGTGATTGAATCCAAAGGATCTCAAACTTTGCTGCCATGGTGAGTTTTGGTGGACGTAGATTTGACAATGTGTGTCCTGCGTAAGACACTTCGATGGATGGCAGACACCTCGACACGTGGCAGAGCTTCAGGTGGTCACCCTGGCTCACAGGCGACGCTGCACGGCGAGCCTGATGTGCTGAGAGCCATGACTGTGTTAAACCGTGATACACGCACGCCACCCACTCGGCAAGACTGCCTCCTATACCTCCATAGATCGAGAACCGAGGCCGGAAGGAAACGTTTTGGGTACCACGCGCCAGTGTTGTATAATGCACTGCCAGCCGACAAAACAAAACTAACACAGCATCGTGCGCGCGGTGAGAGCTCACCTGTTTCAGCGCTAATGCCATTGGTAGCCGGTGAATAGTTGTCTGTGTATTACATGTTTGTTTATCTGCACGTTCTCATCTATAATTTTGACACGGTGCTGTAATAACTACGTTCCAATGTGTATGAAATTATGGACATAATACAGTGCAAAACAACACAATGCCTTTCAGCTGTGTGCACCGGAAACCGTGTGTCAGCGCCATTGGGGCCTAGGACGCACTTAACTATTGAGCCTGCATGGCGTCGCCTGCCTCTCACCCAGGCAGGAGTGGCAGGAACCGCGGGGAATCAAACCCCGTACCTCTGGTTTTCCGGACCGACGGGCAAACCACCTTTACTGTCGACCAATACTGATTGACCTAGCGCCGAAGGTTAGCTCTGCTTAGTCATGAACCCATTAGTGTCTCAAGGTAATCCGGCATTTTGTTTCCTTTCTCGCTGTATCCTGCACAGTCACCATGTACCCAGATATTTGTGAGTGAGGCGGCACTACCCGCGCTGTTACCAGGAGACATAGTTAAGTTTCCTCTAGGTCCCCGATGTTCTCTCGTACGCATTGGGCCGCTATTAGCAACATGATTAACTGCTTCCACTTGATTAACTGCATTTGCATAAATCACTTGACGCGGTCGGTAGGACTCGAACCTACGCTCCCAGAGGGAATCTGATTTCTAGTCAGACGCCTTAACCACTCGGCCACGACCGCTGTACATATCCGCGCCTCACACCTTTCCACCACAGGTGTAGATCTTTCAGTGACACGGGCGGGAAACCCACCGTCACTGCCAGTACTAACGACTTTCTTTCGACCACCGATTTCGGTGGTCGTTGCGATGTCCCACTTGTCTGGGGCAGGCTGCATGCGCCAGCCACGGGTAGGCCCAAGTGTGCCCCACTTCCCCCGGGTGGGGCCCACGTCCGAGCGCCCAGCACACACCCCGCAAGGGGTTTCAGCGCAGACAGTCCCGGCAGATGGGTCCCTTGGTGCATGTCGTCTTCCCGCACCATTATCCATTCTCTTCTTTCCATGGACCTGAAATGGTCATCACTGATCGAAAGGGTGCTAAATCAAGACAACCCCAAAACAATCTAAATCATCTATGACTATGTAAAAGAAATAAATTTTAGGCGACGAAACTTTCCAAACCAAAGTTTGTAAGGCACCGACTACTGTCGCGTGCACCAAGACGTTTGCCGTGAGTATTCATCGCAGGATGTGTGACTAGTGTGGCTGTGCTCAAAACGGCCGTCCCCACCTAAGAATGTGTAGCATTGAGAAGTGAGCGAGGCCGGTAAGGTTTTAGCTTACTTTTCGAAAGTAACGTTCGCTCGTCGAGGTGGTCTGATTTTACGTCAGACGCCTAACAGTATGGCCGCGAATGACAGACAAGGCTTGAAACTATGGACCATTGTCAGCTGTGTATGACAAAGGTGTGCGTGTGTTAACAGGGCCTGGAACCCTCCTCTAACAATGCATATATTCTTTGATTTGAAAACGTAGACCAATCTCCGCAACCAAAAATCGGCAAGAATTATTCGCCATGTACCCAGATCTTTGTGAGTGAGGCCGCACTAGCCGCTCCGTTACCCGGAGACATAGATAAGTCTCTATGTCACCGATGTTATCTCGTAAATATTGGGCCGCTATTAGCAACAGGATTAACTGCTCCCACTTGATGATCTGCATTTGCATAAAGCACTTGACGCGGTCGGTAGGACTCGAACCTACGCTCCCAGAGGGAATCTGATTTCTAGTCAGACGCCTTAACCACTCGGCCACGACCGCTGTACATACCCGGGTCTCACACCTTTTCGCCACAGGTGCAGATCTTTCAGCGACACGGGCGGGAAACCCACCGTCGCTGCCAGTACTAACGACTTGCTTTCGACCACCGGAGGTAGCTTAGGCTACACTGGGTGTGACATGGCCACACTGGTTGCCTCCATCTGTGTGGACTTACTAAGCGCCCGCTCTGAGAAGTTAGCCTAACCTGTGACCGGTATGATTACAGTCGTCGCGATCAGATCAACTACACCGGGAATTCTGCCCAGTCTCCGCCATCACCAGTTCCCCGCAATATTAGCTTTATCACGAGCACACCGTAAAGCTTTACCTTTAAGCTTTACCGTTAGTAAGCAAGCTTTAAGCTTTACCCTTAAGCACACCGTAAAGCTTTACCCTCGCTTTAAGCCAATCGCGACACCATGTTTACCTTCCGGATCAAGTCTGATCCAGCGTCGGTGAAGCACCAAGTCAGACAAAACAGAGTGACGAGATACACCATTCTCTATAAGAAAAATACCGTTTTGATAAAAATGCAGCCACGTAAACGAGTTTCGTGATGGCCTAAGAATACACACGGAGACCTTTATTATCGGCGTACATGCAGCATATGAGCTGGTCCTAACGCAACGGCCCTCTCAACCCCGCTGGATCAAATATGGTTATGACCTATACGCCTCAGTGAGTGGGACGGGGGGGGGGGGATATTCCGTGGTAATACCAAGGTTGGCATGCGTTATATATAGACAGGAGGCTGGAATGGCCGCCAGGATAATCATAGACAGTTTCAGTCGATGTCTCCAGCTGTATCTGTATTGCATTAACACGCGCTCAGGTAAGGGGTCAACGTCTCCCCCACCCCACCCCACAGGTTTCTGTGTACTAACTTCCCAACGGAACGTTGAAGCCCGCCACCTATTTGAAGCTGAAGCAGCTGAATAGCCGACCTTTTCATATCGAAAAATTAGGTGTGCTTCGTAAGGTCGTTGACCTGTGGAAGGTCAAATATAGGTCATGATCGCCACAAAATCGCCTCAATCCTGTCGCGGCGGTCGTGGCCGAGTGGTTAACGCGTCTGACTAGAGATCAGGTGCACTTTGGGGATGTAGGTTCGAGTCCTACCTACCGCGTCGAATAGTTAATGCAAACGCAATTAAGTAAGTTGAAGGCGTATGTTGATGAAAGTGACCCAATATGTACAGAATAAAGTCAGTGACCTAGAGGAAACTGATCTGGTGTCTTCAGATAACAAAGCACGTAGTTCTATCGCCATCCACCATCAATGTCCTTTAATGTCCTGGTTGGCTTCAAGCGCTGAAGGCTACTTCTGCTTGGTCATAACCCCATCAATATCTCAAACTAATCCGCCATTTCATCCTCTTTTTGCTCTGTCCTGCGAAGTCGCGACGTCCCGCTCGTCCAGAGCGAGCCGCATGCTCTAGCTTTCATGGTGCTGAAGTGTCCCGCTGGTGGGCCCCCATCCGAGCGTCGAACGCGCACCCCGCAGGGTGTCCGCGTGCAGACAAAGTGTCGGCGGGTGGGTCCCGAGGTGCGTGTCGTACTGCCACACCGTTATCAGTCCCCTTTTTTAAAATTTGGTCCGAATCCTTTGAATGGATGGATTTCTGGGATCAGCGCTCACGCTAAGCAGTGCTTGTTGTGTGAGCCCTGACCCCCACCATCCGATCGCGCAGTTCCAGGCAACGGCAGAATTTAGTGGCGAAAGCTTTACGTGCCGCAATGCTCGGCACGGTCCGTCCTGCCCTCTGACGTCAACTGACCTTTAGCGTGACCGCTGCCACCGGCCGCAGGCCATACCTGCCAAGGGCAAATAGCGAGCGCCCTAAAGCGACTCGAACCCATTCCGCCACGGATGGGTGGGTCGGAATGCAGGCGCTCTAACCAACTGAGCCACCGGGACGGACATTAACACGGCTGAGCCACCGGGACCCTTTATCACATAACTTTGAAATAGTAATTACTGGCCGTAAGGGCTCTAAATCCAAGCAACCCAAATAATGTAAACCATCTCAACGTGCGCAGCGGGGGCCGATTTCAGGTGTCGCCACCAAACAAGCCAAAGGTTATAAAGTGCCGACTCCTGGCGAGTGAACCGGAATGTTTGCCATGAGCAGGATGTGACTGTGGCTGTGCCCAAAACGCCTGTCCCTTGCTAATTGAGAAGTGAACGCGGTCGGTAAGTTTCGAACTCGCGCCCATCGAGGTGGTCTGATTTTACCGCAGACGCCTAACGGCACCACCGCGAGTGACAGACAGGGCTTGAAACTGCGGACTTTGCCAACTTTGTATAACAAAGGCAAACGTGTGTTAACGGGACCCAGATCACCTTGTAACAATGCATGAAGTCTTCGACAGAAAAAATGTGGACCCATCTCCGCTACCAAAGACCGACAAGAACAAATCACCATGCACTCCAATATTTATGAATCAGGCAGCACTACCCGCTCTGTTACCCGGAGATGTTGGATCAGCTTACGCCAGGTCACTGTCGACATTTCGTACATATTCGGCCGCGACTAGCAACGTGATAAACTGCGCCCACTGGATAAACTGCATTTGCATAAAGCACTTGACGCGGTCGGTAGGACTCGAACCTACGCTCCCAGAGGGAATCTGATTTCTAGTCAGACGCCTTAACCACTCGGCCACGACCGCTGTACGCATCGACGTCTCACACCTTTTCGACACAGGTGCAGACCTTTCAACGACGTGGGCAAGAAACGCACCATCACTGCCAGTACTAACGATTTGCTTTCGACGCCGAAGGTAATGTCTGCTTAGTCATGACAACGCTAGCTGTCTCCAACTGTGTGGATTGAACCGATCCCAGCAGACGTTACTGAAAAAAACAAAGATATGTGGCACCGACCACTACAGGCACACTCGGAGGCCTGTTCTGACTAGTTAACAGAATTTGTGACCGGTGCGGCCATTATCGCCGTGATCAGATGAGATGCAGCATGCACCATATTCTATTAGAGGGTACGGTTTTGATACAGCCATGCACAAGAGTTTCAGGATGACCTGAGCATGAGCACGGAGACCTTCATCATCGGCGTACGTGCAGCATGTGAATTGGTCCTAACGCAGCGGCCCTCTCGACCCCGCTGGATCAAGTATGGTTATGACCTATACGCCTCAGAGTGAGTGGGACGGGGGGGGGGGGGGGGTGATATTCCGTGGTGATACTACGGTTGGCATGCGTTGTATATAGACAGGAGGCTGTAATAGCCGCCAAGATAATCATAGACAGTCTCAGTCGATGTCTCCAGCTGTATCTGTATTGAATTAACACGCGGTCAGATGAGGGGTCAATCCCCTCCCCAGGGGTCTCTGTACACTAACTTCCCAACGGCACGCTGTATCCCACCAAACCATTTGAAGCTGAAGGCAACTGAATAGCCAACCGTTTCATATCGAACAATTAGGTGTGCTTTGTAAGGTCGTTGACCTGTGGAAGGTCAAATATAGGCCATGACTGCCACACAATCGCCCCAATTCTGTCGCGGCGGTCGTGGCCGAGTGGTTAAGGCGTCTGACTAGAAATCAGATTACCTCTGGGAGCGTAGGTTCGAGTCCTACCGACCGCGTCAAATGCTTTATGCAAGCGCAGTTAAGCAAAATGGAGCTGTATGGCGCTTATAGTGACCCAATATGTGCAGAAAAACATCAGTGACCTAGCGGAAACCGGAAGTGCCCCGCTGGTGGGCCCAATTCTGAGCGCCGAGCGCACACCCGCAGGGGGTCCCTGTGCAGACGGTCGGATGAAAGGGTTCCAGGGTGCACGCCGTCTTGCCCCACCAGTATCCATTCCCTGCATCACACAGTCTTGAAATGGTCATTACTGGCCGTAGGGGCTCTAAGCCCAAGCAGCCTGAATAATCTAAACGATCTTGAGCTATGTAGAAGGGATCAATTTCAGGCGACGCCACAAAACCAACCAAAGATCATAAAGTACCAGATACTGTCACGTGCAACGGAATGTTTATCATGAGTATTCACGGCAGGATGTGACTAGTGTGGCTGTGCTCAAAACGCCCGTCTCCAGCTAAGAATGCGTAGTATTGAGAGGTGAACGCGGCCGGTAAGTTTCGAACTCACGCTCATCTTTGTGGTCCGATTTGACGTCAGACGCCTACGATGCGGCAGCGAGTGACAGACGCTCCTTGAAGCTGTGGACTTTTGTCAACTATGTATAACAAAGGTATGCGTGCGTGAATAGGGTTCGGATCATCTTATAACAATGTACATACTCTTCGATCAAAAACGTGGACCTATCTCCGCCGGGAAATATCGGCAAGAATTGTTCACCATGTATACCGATCTTCGTGAATGACCCAGCACTACCCGCTCTGTTATCCAGATGCACGGGATCCGTTCCCACTAGAGCACTGATGTCATTTCGTACATATTGGGCCACTATCATCCACCTTAAACACAATTCACTGCATTTGCATAAAGCATTCGACGCGGTCGGTAGGACTCGAACCTACGCTCCCAGAGGGAATCTGATTTCTAGTCAGACGCCTTAACCACTCGGCCACGACCGCCGCATACATCTCTGCCTCATACCTTTCCGTCCCACGTACAGACCTTTCAACAACGCGAACGGAAAACCCACGATCGTTCTCGGCACTAACGACTTGCTCTCAACCACGGAGGGCAACTTCTGTTTTAACATGGTCATACCAGCTGTCTCCAGCTGTGTGGACGAAGCCGATCCCACCAGACGTTACTAAACAACCCAAGGAGTATGTGGTACAGCTCACTCCATGTACACTCGCACGACTGTTCTGAGTAGTTAACCTAATCTGTGACCGGTCTGGGTATTTTCGCTGCCATCAATTGAGATGCAAACTACACCGGGAATTCTGACAAGACTCGACCATCACCAGTTCCCAGCACCGTCCGCCGTAATATTAGCATACATTGATATCATACTATGGCCAGATTCCCCAGGGACTATTTTGTTATTTGAACTACTGGTCGGCGTCAAGAAAGACCTCGGGCTGCATGCTCTTCGAACCGAAAGTTTGAAGGAGGTTCTTGTGGGTCAGTGACCTCTCCTCACCTTCAGTAGGTCAAATAAAAAATCTTTTGAGGTCATTGTCATCCAGGAATTGGAGCCAGGCGTCGAAAGCAACCTACTAAAACGAGATGTCCTGGAATAAGCGGCTTGCTGTGACCTTTACCTGACCTTCACACATGACCTGGACCAATGAAATTTTGAGGAATCCAGACCTCAATAGCCTAGTTGGCTAAGGTACCACTCAAAGTTGTATGACCTCGTCAAACAATACATGGAGCACCATATTGAGTCATTGGCTAAGAATTGCTTCCGCTGACAGCCATGACCTGACTTTGACCTACCAAAGGTCAGCAACCTTGCAAGGTGTATCTAATTTGATATGCCAAAGATTGGCTGTTCAGCTGTGTACAGCGAAACACAGGTTGGCGCGGCTACGCCGTGCCGCTAGGAAGTTTTGTTTCTTGAAAACTTGCGGGAGGTCAAATTGATCTCCGCCTTCCACCTGAGCTCGTGTGAAGGCAATAACAAAATCATAACTAGCTTGAACATCATGTTTGGTCCAGTGCTTAAGAAGCAAGAAGTCAGACGAGAAAATGGTGAGAGGATACACCAGTTACTATTTCAAGACAACAGGTTTGACAACGATGCGGCCCTCATCTCCTCATCAGGGTGGCGTGGTCGTCGGCACGGCCACCTTAATGTCGGCGACCGCGCACCGAAGAAACTGGCCTTAACGCAACGATACTATCGATCGAGGGTGAGTGATGTGTGAACAATGTACAACTGAACAGAATCCCGGAATCATCTTGTGACGGAGAATGGATTTTTCGATGAGGAGCGTGAACCAACTTGCACTAGCAAGGGGACGAAGGACGTTCACCCAGAACGAACGTATCTTTTATGTGACAACCGTCCTAAGTGGGACAACTGACAACCAACCCAGCGTCAGCTCGAGTGCATAAAGCGTTTGACGCGGTCGGTAGGACTCGAACCTACGCTCCCAGAGGGAATCTGATTTCTAGTCAGACGCCTTAACCACTCGGCCACGACCGCTGTATATGCTTTCCTCTCACACCTTTT